GGGCTCTGCGCTCCGCGACCACGGGGGCGTTGTTGTGCGCGGCGCGGAGCGGTCCAGCCGAGGCTGCTGACCGGGGCCCCGTGGGTGTGGCGGTGGCGACAGGATGTGCGTGCGTGGGGGCCGCACTGCTGCAAGCCGCTATGGCGAGCTGCTGCACCGACAGGACGCAGGATGCACACGCCCCGCCCTGCGTCCACAAAGACTGGTCCTGTTTTTGTTCCCTCGCACACACTCACTCCTTTGATCGCCCCGCCCACTGCGCGCAGTGTGCCGCACACCTGGCCCGTCGCTGGAGCTGCATCTGGCGCTGAGCCGAGGCCCCCTTCCCGCCACCGCCGCGGGTACTCAGACGGGGGCGCTCGGGTACCGCCCGCCAGGTGCACGCCGGCGGTCGGGGCGGCAAAACAAACAAGTCCGGCTCGTGCCGCCGCTGCTAACGAGTGCTCTTGGGGCCGGGACATGTAGCGGGCTGCCAGGTGGCTGCTAAAATGCCTGTTTACCGGTCGGTCTGAGCAGAGCGGCAGTCCCCACGATCGGACTCGGCCCTCTCCTCGGCTTCGGGTGAACGAGATTCAATTGCTGGGCGTCACCTACGTGGCGAAACTGTATAAGTACCTTGAGTTGGTCTTTTTCAACCTTCAACCCTTCCGCCCATTTTCTTGTGGGCGATCCCGAACTCCTGTTCACATAAGTCGCAAAATGTACCGCGACTCTCTTCTGTACATGAATCTGGTGAAACCGTGAGTTGTAAACTGGGCGAACGGGGCACGCCCAGCCACTACTCACCACTCGCTCGCTCTGCTGCTGCTGCTCCCCGAACGGTCGTATTTCGATGGGTTTGCTCCTCCCCTTCCCCTCGACTCCCCACGCACACCTTCGCACACGGGACGGGGCCCAGGTGCACAGGAAACGCCCCCTCCCTCTCCACCCCTTCTCCCTTGTGTCTGGCCCCGCCCTGCCGCGCCCCGCGCGCGCGCGCGCACGCTCAGTGCGCGGGTTAGACGTGAGAGATGCTCTGATCTTGGTCGCGGCTCGTGGTGTCCACGGCCAGGTGTGCTCTCGATGTTGCAGCAGGCAGCTTGTGCGTCGCCCACCGGGCCGAAATTTTGGCGCTCTTTTTTTGGCGAGTGCAGCAGGGGATGGAGGGAGGGGAGGGCTATACAGCTTTTGCTTTCTTCTCCTTTCATACCTAAAGACGCTGGCACCCGACGTCTACCTGGCGGACCTGGCGCAGCTGGGACGATGGATCTCCTTTTCGACAGCAGGCGAGCGTGCTCCGGCGTGCTCGCTGCGGGCCCTGCAGAGTAGGGCTGCACGGCGCGGAGCGGCGCGGCTGCCTGCCAACTTTCCCTCTCGAGTAGCGGTTTACACTAAATCTACGGAATGTCGCCGGCGCGGCGGCGCGGCACCACCGCCGTGGCGCACCGCCGTCTGCGGAGTGCTTTCCAAAATGTTGCGCCTCTGCCGCCGGCGCCCCATCAAGCACTGCATCGAACTGCATGGTGGCGCCGCTTGCAACACGCGCAGCACGCGGTGTTCGTCACGTTGAACCTACCAGAATAAATGCTCTCGTTTGTCTCGTTCGCCGGCCGAGGTGTAACCCCGAGGCGGTCCTGCTTTGTTCGCTCCTCGGGGGAGGGGTCGTAGGTGTCCCCCCCAGGCCCCGCGCACACACCTGTCCTCCCACCCGCTCAGGGGCCACCGGGAAGGAGCGACGCGACGAATTCTATCGTCCTTTTGGACGCGCTCGAGGGGTCGGCGGGAGGGAGGGAGGGCGGCACATCTGCCCGTTACCTGGAGGCCGCGAGGGTGGCGGTGCGGCGTGCTGCACCGTCTGATGCAAATGCAGTCTGGCTGATGCAGCCGATAGAGCCGAACGTGTCGCCGAGCCCACCTGGGCTGTTGGGGCCGGGCCCGGCGAGGGCCACCGCTCCTTGGCTATGCGAGCGTCAAAGTGGTGCAACCCGAGTAACCGTTCGGCTTTCGCTTTGTTGCAGGTGAGCGGGTGGGTGGGTGGTGTACTTCTACCAAAGGCATGGCTGATGGCGGGCTGGTGAGTGCGCCGCCGCCGTGCAGAAAGGAGCGCGCCACCTGCCCCCGCCCCCGCCC